TGTTAGGAATCAGAGATCAGAGGCGGTCAAGCGGAAGCGAACAAACACACACACACAAATAGCAGAAAATAAGAACACGAGATTTAACGTGGTTCGGTCAGTAAACTACTCCACGGGTTGCAGCTAGGGTTTATCTTTTATTAGGTGCTCACAGATTATAGTTACATGATTGGGTATTTATAAGATATAAACTAGGGTTAACAACTTGCTAAACAAGAAACAACTAATGGGCCCTTTAATTAATAACTAAAACCGGCCCCCCATGTTTCTTCCCTTTAGCCGACCAGGCTTAAAGCCCACAGCTCTAAAGCCTTCACCGAATAACCCAACATGGTCAAGTTGCAAGTTTTAAAAAAAATGGAGAGGTGCAAGTGTGCAACTCCATCATGAACTCCTATTTATATTTTCAGACTTTATTTTAAGGTTTAACTGAACTCTTATTACACTCCCTACGTCTCATATAAAGCGTCAAGTTTCTTGACATGCTTTTACAAAAGTGAGACTGCATACATCTTGACCCTCCAGAGTGCAACATAATTCAGTTAAATATACTAGGTTTGTTGTTGTTAATTATTTACATGCTTTTTTACCCAAAAAAGAGTCATATTTAATGAAAAGAAAATAGTTTTCATGTTTTATAATGGTTATACCTTACCTAAAATTGAACCATGCTCTTTTTTCATTGGGAAGGACAAAAAAACAAAAAGATGATCATTATTAGGGACTGGAGGAGTAATAACTATTAGAAAGGCCATTTATCCTCAATTTAGCCAGAAAAGCAACTTCTCATATGATAACAAAGATTAGTCAGGCAAACCACTAAAGGAAACATTTGGAAAGGGCATGCATTCGAATTGAGCCATTGAAGCATCATAACAAAATATGAATTCCACCATTTGGGATACTGACAAAAAAAACTTATGAAAGATACCTCTTCTAGAAGCACAATAGTTATTTTCAACCACCTTCAAACATCCATGCCTTCTAGGAGCAGAATAAGCAACAAAAATTCCTGCAGTATGGCTACATTCAGTATCCATGACAAACCAAACAACAAATCTAAACACAAAGAAATTTGGATTTTGCGTTATTATGCATCGAACCATACTAAGTGACATTTCTCTAATTTAGTGGGGATGCTTTGTGCCATGGACTACCCTATATGAATTCTCTCTCTTTCTCTCTAATCTCTATGGTTTCTAGGCATAGATGTCTATAGAACAAGTATAAAATTTACAGAAACATTATCTGCAAAACCAACCTATTCCTGACCCAGAAGAACATCCTATTCAGGTATCATGTTTGCAAATGCATGGGAATTATTCTACAAATATCATCCTCTTAATGCAAAACAAACAGAGATCTAAGTGAACAAGATATTGTAGCACCAGATCTCTGCCTAACTAAATGAGTCTAAAGTGAAATATACAGTTCTCTGGAGCTCCATTGAGCAGCTACTTTAATCTTAAGTCCCGTAGGAAATCTCCAACAAGCCCGTCCGAAAATAATGAAAGAATTGTGTGCATCCCAAGCAATTTGACAACATCCGCTAAATCAAACTAACAATCAACCGAGAAACGGTTCAAAATCATTGCTTCTCAAGAATCTCGTACCTGCAACTAAATACACTGCAGAAATGGAGAAGAAGACAAATGATGGCATAAACACAACCATCCAATAATAATCCACAGTCTCCTGATTGGTGAGGTAAAACGCCCCAAAACCCAGATCAGAGTCCCCGCCCACACCGCCAATCGTGGCAGTAGCTGAGGAGGCGGTGATATTGATAGAAAGCGGCTGAATCCTCAGGTCCCCGCAAAACGGCCGCCGAGCCGGATCTCCCGGGAACACAATATTGAAGCTGATCAGAGTGGAAACCAAGACCGCGGTCGCGATTAGGGTTGCAGAGAGAAAAAGGATCGGCTTACGTAACCGGAGCCACGCCTTATCCTCCTCCCGCAGACTCTCGTACTCGTTCTTCGGCATGAACGCTTGCCGGAGCGCATCCCCTATGATCGCCATTCGCGGCAACAGGGCATGCGCGCGTATGTATACCCGCAAATTAAGCTTCGGAATCTTCCTAGTCGAGAAATGCGGGTTAGGGTTTGGAGCAAAGAATCTGGGGATTGAAAATTGGAGGGATCGATTTAATCCGCAAGTCTTGTGGATCAAAAATCATCGCCGGCTCATCTGCACGGAGAATCGGAGACTATTATTCCTACATTTTTTAGCCCTCAGAGTTCAAAAAATTACGCTTTCTTTTTTAAAAAAATATGAAACTATTTTTGCAAGAAAAAGTTATCTTAAATATTTCAGTCTTTCACGTTTTTTTCAAAAAATAATCTCATCAAAATCATCAAAAATAACCACACTTTTTTACATGTGTACGAGTTTTGGGTTGCCGTTAAAATGCTAACAATTACTTAACAAAATTTTTGGAAAAATATAACAATATACTCTTATAAGAGATTTGTCTCGTTTTTTAAAAATATAAGGATTTACAAATTTTATTTTCTATTCTGGGGAAAATATAATATTTTATTATCAAAAAATAACTTGGAGTATCGTTTGAGAAAGAAAATGCAATACAAAACAATTGTACTGAGTTATAAAAATAGTTAGTGCAGTTTTGGAAAAAAATATTGTACCATTTTCATAACTTTTGAATAATTGTTTCAGAGAAAAAAATTTGTACTGAATTATCGAAAAAAATACAAGTTAGGTAATTCAATTCCAGAATATGTAATACGGCTAATATAAGATTATCAATAAATATTTTGAAGTTTTGTTCATGAAAAAATTACAATACAACAAAGTTATGAAAATAAAAGTTCTATTTTAGACCAAAATTATTGTGGTATTTTCACAATTGTTGTAATGTTGTTTTGTAAAAAAACATTTATTTAGAATTATCGAAAAATATTCACAAATTTTGTAGTGTCATTTTTTACATATTTCGAAGTGTTACAAAAAATGTAGTGATCGTGAGTTATAAACTATAAAGTAAATAAATTAGCTCCATTGAGTAGAATAATTTATTGTTCAATTATTATCAGATTTATCAATTATTGAAAAAAATAATTAGTTTCACTCTAATAAACACTTAAATTTGGTATTATTTATAAAAATAATTTTTTAAAAAAATATATTTAAATTTAAAGATAGAAATTTTTGAAAATGAAAAAAAGAGAATTTATCTAAAATAATCCCGTCTTTAATTTATTAATGAAAAACACACATTTTTCGAAATTCCATTGAGTTGCCATTAGTTTTTTAACGACGATCCAAAACACGCACACATGTAGAAAGGTGAGATTATTTTCCAGTGACACTGAAATGTAAAAATATTTTTGAAAGACCACAAAAAGGTGAAGTTATTTAAGATAATTTTCCCTTTTTGTAATAGTAATAACATAGGAAGGACAACTCCATTGACACTACTCAGCAGTGTACTAGCGATGCCACCTTATGGGGCAGTGGCGAGGGGTTTAAGGAGTGGGTTAAGGATAGAAACCAAATTGTAGTGACGCCATTATTGACATCGTTGGCCAGTATCAACAAAATTTCTTCTACTCATAATGTACTCTATGCAAAGTATAGTAAACACGTATCGACGTCGTGACAAAGAGTCACTCCAAGCTTCTCTGCATCTAGTGCTCGAGCTAGCGTTTAATAGGTTGAGATTATTAGATTGATTAAATATTACACCGATGAACATTATAGCTACTAAAAAGGATACAGAGTACAAAGTGAAAAAATTATTACTTCGAATTTACTTTCTAATTAATTATCAAAATTTATTCATATTGATTTGGAAAAAGCAAATTGAAAAACATACTCGATGAAGAAAGATAATACAAAGTAGATGTTGAAAACTCTAAGATGAAGACTCATTTTCAAATAACGTCACCAGTATAATTATTTTTTACATGTCGATTCTTTTGTCATTGGTCAATAATACTATAATATAATAATTTGTATTAGATCCATTTGATTTCTCTTCTAACTCCATATCAGAATTGAGACAGAAAATGAGGACATGAGAAAAGAAAGAACCAAAAATCTTAAATTTCATATCAAAAGGGAGCCTACCAAGGAGTATATTGTGAAATCCTCGAACTCTACCATCATTTTGGTGGTCGCACATCGATATGGTTGAGATGTTTTCTTGATGCTCGTTAATATAGGAGTGCTCTGATTTTCTGTTTTTTGTATATTTGTTGTAAAGCAGTGCCATTATGGAGTTGATATATATTAGATGTTGTATTGTTTAACAACACGTGTTTTGTTCCAAAAAAAGATTAGTATAAAAATAAAAACATAAAAATTATAAAATATATATTTAAAAATTATGTCAATTTTTTTTCAAAAATTGTTCCAATATTCTTTTTGGGGAGAGGTTCACACTATTCTCTCGGTGGACTCCAACTGATTAGGACGTATCCATATGGTGGTCTCACACCATTGGTTGTTGGTGAAGAATATTCTCCGCATTTATCATTACATTTATTTTTGTAAAAAAATAATCTGAGTAGAAGTAGAAATTCCACGGAATGTAAAAAAAAAAAAAGAAAACAGAAAATAATAATAATAATAATAATCTCGGTAACAGAAAAAACAAGAATTTCCCGGTGTGATCACGCGCACGCCAAACCAGAGAGAGAAAGAGAGAGGGGGACTCGATTCGATTGTTGAAATTACTGAGAGAATTTGTCAGCGTTCAACGGTTTTGTGGTTGTCTCCACCGCGTGAACGCGGCCGTGGTCTCGCCGGAACAGTCAATTGGACGAATCGGTGATAAGAGCGTTTGATCCGGAAGGGGGCGACGTCGCTAGGGTTTCAGGTGAGATGGTGAATTCTCTGGTGGAGAGGGCGACGAGCGACATGCTCATCGGCCCCGATTGGGCCATGAACATTGAGATCTGTGACATCTGCAATCATGACCCGACGTACGTACCTACCTCTAGCTTTTTTTTTATTTTTTTTATAACTCGTGTGTCCGCGTTTGCGAACTTTGGTTTGATTGCCTCATGTGAGTTGCACAACGAGATTTTGCGAAGTAGCTTGTGAATTTTAACTGCTGGGTTCTTGAATTCGAGCAATTTAAAGTTTAAATATTCAACTGTGGAGCAGTTTAGTGCAAGTGAGATTAATTGGACTCAACGGATTTGAGGATTCAATTTTTATGTTGTGTAGTTTTCTAGTGGAAGGTAGATAGCTGCAATGGTTTGTTTACTTCATTTGCAAGCTAACGTTTGAGTAACAAAAGCTGTATTTTCTACCACGGTTGAGCCAGTTTATTGATTTAATTTTGTGGTTTTACCGGGACATATGCTCGATAAACTTGAACTTGTTTTTGTTTAGATGATCACTAAGTAAGTTGATGTTCCCTGAACATTCTCTTGCAGGGTGTTTCGGGATCCGGTAGCTTTTGTGTGTGTAGGACGCTAGGATTTTCCATGAATTAATGTTTAGAGAGAGCATCATTGTCATAGAAGTCATGTTGTATTTGAATCAATAAATGATACAAATGTGTTAAATTCAAGATGGTTTAGGGGTCTAAAATTTCACCTCGGATGTGAAACGAAACAAAGTGATTATCAATACAAAAACATTTTCATGTGCGTGCAAAGTGACTGATATGCTTCATCTAAACTTCACACCTTTTATTTTTGGCTGTCCCAAAATAAAATTCATACTTCTCGTTTTCCTATGTATGTATGAATGACATGTGGATCACAAATTTTCCCTTTAATATTTAAATTTCAGCCACCTACTTTTTACTTTATACACTTTTCTTAAACTCAGTGAAGTCAAACACCAAAGTTTGATTTGGGAAGTAGGGAGTATTTGTTGCATTGCTCTTTGGAACCTCTATCCATCTTTTTTTTCTTCGTTTAGGGTAGATTCAAACAGAGTTTGTATTTGATTATTTTGTTATTTGACCAGTTCTTTGCATATGCTATCATTGTTTGGTTTGATGCCCACTTACCAGGCAAGCAAAAGATATTGTGAAAGGCATTAAGAGACGACTTGGCAGTAAAAATCCAAAAGCTCAGCTTCTTGCATTAACTGTAAGTGCCAGACTTTTACTAAATTTAGTTCTCTCCCCATCCATCGGTTCTTTGTTCTATCTTTCTCAAGTTAAAACACTCAACCAATGGAAATGAGGCAGAATAGGTCTGGTGCCTTTGTTATTAAGAGTAGCTCCACCCTTTACAAAAACCTTACGAGTTTGACTATCGTGGAGTTTTAAGAAAAGTGGTGAAAAGTGTAATATCAGAATTTGTTTAGATGAGAGAGAAATATTGTGATCCCCATGTTCTTTACTAAGAAAGGAAATAAAGGGGGAAGTATTTTTTGGGACGTAAAAAAAAAGAAATTAGATGAATTTTTTGGGAGGAAAGGAGTACGGAGTATAATTTTTTCTAATCAAAATAGTTCTGGCTTTTGTCCCAAGGGGTGTGGATGGTGTTTGGCAAAAGTATGATTCCGTTTCTGATCATTTTTTTAATCAGAATTAGAATCCTGCATTGTGGGGAGAATTTTTTAATACGAAAGTGGTTGGCAATCATCCCATGGTATGCAAAAGAGATTCACAAATCACAATAAAGTGCTGTGTTTGGCAACCATCTCAACTGATGTTGGAGCAGCCACGTCCTAACAGGACACAATAAATCCAGCCTAATTCTTTTCTTTCTGCTATCTCCACTAGCAGAACCAATTCCCATGATCAGAAACATACATGCTGTAAACAGTGTCTTAGTTTATCCCCTAAATCCATTTAATAAAAATTTAGAACTAATTAAAAATGCGTTTGTTTTTCTGCACGATTTCATAAAATGGTAAAACGAAGAGAATAATGAAAAATCTAAGTGAAATGTGTCATGAGATTAAATAAAAAAAAATACTGAATGTAAATTCTAAATGCTAATTATAATTTGTGATAGGCATCAATATCTTTCTTTTCAACTTCTAAGGGAATAGATTACCTCTTCTGGGTTACCTTTGCTGTATTTCCCACTTCAAGAACACAACTTTGTTATGTTTGAGCTCCTAGCTCGGTCCAACCCAAGTTGCTAACAAGTTCACTACTATGCCCTTGAAAATGGACTGCAGTGCAATGCATGCCGCTTGATGTTCTATGAATCATTTGATAATGATATGTTTGGTGTAATTTTTGTAATCATAATCCTATTAGAATTTTTTAAAAGAT